AGCATGTGCTACTACATGAATTTTATTTGAATAAAACCAACGCCAATGTACATTTTGGGGGGTCGATGGTGTTCCATCACTAGAAGACGCGATTTTTAATAATGGTGTATTTCCGAAGGTGTTTCGTAATTACTCTGTCAAGATACTGAATGCATGTAGCAGGTCTCTGTCGCATTTTCCAGAAAAACAAAACAAAACGTCTCTATTTATTTTTGTATATATAATTAGCACCCGATGTCACCGTATAGTCAACAAAAACGAACTAGATTCTAAACGAAGACTTATTCGTATTACAATTTTTTTAATTACTAGAAGTCATGACTTGAAACTGCAAAGATTGAGCCATTGTTCGGGTGCGGTGTATCGTGCACAAATCTACTTCTCTATAAACATTAAAATTAACGAGATACTAATCTTCTTTCATGATAAATGGGTTGCCTAGAGACAAAGCTGTCGACAGTATTGGTGTTTATCCATGTGATACTATTTATTAGGGAAAGGTTACCGTAGACTAAAACGCCGCAATATTCATTTTTAGTTTTAGTTCTAAAAAAAAATAATTGTTTAGGTTTACCGTGAAATATGTGCATGCTAATAAGAATTCGTCGCTAAAAGCAAATTCATTACAAATATGTAAAACATAACTGTGTATGAGTTTGACATATATATGTTATGCCTGGGGTGAACCTATGTTGGTATAATTCAAAAACTACTACGTATGTTTTAAAGATAAATTTGACATAAGACGGTGTTTCCGATACATCTAAGTTTGTTTAGTGTGATGCAATTCTTTGTTGTGATCTGGAGGTTAATGAAACGTGTCAGAAATGGTAAGAACAATTTGAGAAAATAAGAAATAATGCAAAATTACCGGATTTACCTACGTAAAGCCCACGAGCACGAGAGTTTTCCTCATTGTATCGAACGAATATTGCTATGAATATTGCAAAAACAACGATTTTAATTTCTAGAATAATCACATCATGTTAAAAAAAAATCCGCTCAAAATGGGACAATTTTCTCACATTTTCTTCAATTTTCTCTAAATTCAATCTTAATTTTGGAACAAGCAGACAAAATGTGACATTGCTTCTAATTTTTGATCAACAAATTTGAAATATTCGTCAACATTTTATGTGGAAAAGAGCAGACGATAAATGGAACTATTTTTGTGGAAGGTATTAGTTTCAACTTAGAAGTTGACTTTGACAAAAAGAATGCCGAGTCGATAATACTTTACCCACAAGCTCGTCAAGATCTGATAATAGTTAAAATATATATTATACAAGTGTATTTAGTAACTATTGCTGTGATTTTTACAATAGATGTTATATATATTGCTCGTATATCGTGGATTTTTGGATCGTTATGCACTTTGCAGGCAACATTTTGGCGCAACATTGTGCGCTATTTTAAATATTTTTCAATATATTCTTTTTTGTTAATTTTAGAGAAAAAAAGACGTAATTTTCCAGCAGATACAGGTTTCGATCAAAGTTATTTTTTGAAAAAGTACGATGTAGATTTATTTCGTGAAAGTGACAATAGTTGACTTCGGCGTGACCCATTTCACGAGGATATTAATTTCAACTATCAGAGCATTGGTAGCTAGTTTTATTCGAATGAAAAATTAGTACCATTCGTAAACGTCAGTTGATTGTTACTTGCCATGCTCGTGTTCTGTACTTGTAATATGGAATCACGGGTTACGCACGCAGTGAATCGCGTTGCTAAGTATTCACTTACTTGTATTATGTTGTATCCACACTGTATACAAACTAGCCTAAGGTCAAATGGAGTATTGGAACTAAAAGATACATTAATGTGATTGTGAAGCGGAAACTACTCATCGGAAAATACATCCCACCTTGTTGTCATGGAAACGGATGCTTAATTCGTTCAAGTGTAAAGAGTGGACAATAATCTGATATATGAATGAAAGGAACGTCGCTGACAATGAACTTTAAACACATGTTTGCGTTTGTGCATTAAACTTGCAATTATACTTCAATGCACACAGAAATGCTCTATTTCGTCTTTGAGTCGGAGCTTTCATGTTTTTCAATCACATATCGATTAATAAATCGATCGATCGATTAATTAATTAATTAATTACATTTATTTATCAATCAATAGTGACGATACATTCTTGTGAAAAGAAAAAGAAAATGCTAGTTTCAACTACTGGTGACCAAATGTATACTGGTATATATTCGTGCAGCTAATCAAAAGACGGGCTATGGATGGGCACTGCTTGCATTGTGTATAGAAAACACTTTACTCGGCGGATCGCATCAGACACGTTCTGGTGTCTCATCCCATGGTTACGTCACGGTCTTCCCAGTCACGTTACTACTACAGCACCAGACACGCTATGTTGTCTCATTTCATGTCTGCGTTGCGATTTCCCCAGTCACATTGACTACTTCACAACATCAGACACGCTACTGTGTCTCATGTCATGTCTGCGTTGCGATTTCCCCAGTCACATTGACTACTTCACAACACCAGACACGCTCTGTTGTCTCATTTCATGTCTGCGTTGCGATTTCCCCAGTCACATTGACTACTTCACAACATCAGACACGCTCTATGGTCTCATGTCATGTCTGCGTTGCGATTTCCCCAGTCACATTGACTACTTCACAACATCAGACACGCTCTGTTGTCTCATTTCATGTCTGCGTTGCGATTTTCCATGTCACGTTACTTACATCATATACAGTTTTTTATCTAATGATTATGTGGTATAAGACTTAATTTAACTGCAGTATGGCGTACTGCCTGTGGTAAATGTGTTCACAAAATTATCGCAAAAAAATAGTTATCGACGTAAAAACTAGTTTATACAAGAAAAACAATTGACATAAGACATGCTTAAAGCGCGGTGGTCGTCACGCAGCGCGTGTTCGAATTTCATGTAAATAAACAATGTATTTTACACGCGTTGTATACGTCGCTATGAGTCCCATATCGAACAGAACGCGGCACGACGACTGTCGCCCTTTAAAGAATCATCCCTATATATCATAGTTTTACATGTATTTGACAGTATCCGTAACATGAAATAAATACAAATCAATAGACAGCAGAGAGACTTTAAAATTGCATTTATTCCCAACTTAGTTTTTAACATACCCGGACTTACATGATGTCATAATAATTATTGCGGATTTTTCCACGAGCTGAAGCGTAATTTAAAACCGCCAAATTCAGTAGGATATAAGATACCATTAGTGACATTTCCAAACGAGGTAAAATACGCACGCATCCAAGCGTATTTATCTTAATTGCTATCTACCTAAAATCGTATGATGATTACCAATTATAGAACGAATCAAATCGCTACATTACAGTCGACATTTTGATTGAATTTAATGTTCAAATTTGACAAATAAAATCACCTGATGCAGTCCTACATGAGACTCGTCTTCAATTGAAATTCACTTCATATGAAATGTTGATTAAATGGTGCATACGTACGTCTAATGTGAGATTGTTTCAAATAGATCGTAATTAACCTATTTATCTTAATCTGACAGGCTGGTGTAATGACGCTTCCATGACAACGTCTGCAATCATCATCATCATTTTACATGGAAATTCTGAAAACAATATTATCGTTGACACGTCACAATATTTTCAATGATTTTTAATAAAATTACAGACATTTATCCATTTATAGTAAACATTCGATGTAATGTACACGTATTGGGAATACACATTAGCTATAATATTGCATATACTTAATATGTACACTATATAATCGTTTGTGTCTGTAAGCCTATATACCTTAATTTATACTATACAGTATGACAGAGAGAACTCTCAATAGTAAATATGCCACCTCGAAAGCTGAGCAACATAAATTTCTAAAACCGCACTTTAACCGCCTACTGAAATACTACCGGCTGTGAATGATGTTTTACATAGCGGATTTCTAAAATTGAGGCCGCGCATAGAGAAAAAAACAACACTTTTTAGCGGTATTGTTTGAGGCAATGAATGCGTGTCAATTATAACAAGAACATAGGTATGATTGTTTGGCAAAGTTGTGTAACGTAACGCATTTGTCAGACATGATGTGTACATTTCGACCACTCGGCTCCGTCTCGGATAATCTGGTACGTGTTATTGGCACCACTTTGACCGCGCAGCAATCTATGTACCGTTTAAAACTATGCTAGTGCGCATACACTTTAATCAAATGTGGCGCTAAAGTCGTCATTCAAAGGAATCTATACCTGATTTATTATACTAAACTGAAAAATTGTCAGTCGCCGTCCATTTTGTATATTAGTTATACTTTAGAGTTTAGAGTAAGTCGCAATTGCGTGGACCCATGGAGGAGGGAATTAAAAAAGAAATATTTATGATCTACCCGTATTGTATTTTCCGTTATAACCATTATAATAATTACAAATATGGTTTCACTCGTGAGATTCCCCTTTTATGCCTCACTGAAAGATACCCAAGGAAGTGAGACGTGAAATTAAACTGAAGATGAAATCGTCTAGTCAGTCGACGACAGATTCGACTCACTATATCACAACTGATTGCAATATCCGTTTTAGCAGTGAGATATTATATATTCCATAACGGCGATTAATTTGCGTTCATGGCAGCATGCAGGTTGCCATCGCAACGCCATACTTTCATCAATTTGTTCTATTTTGCAAAAGTTTCGATTAAATTCGATCGGAAATGATTAACTGCTCCCAAAAACGTGTTTGAATGTAGAGTTGTTGGACGGACGGTTATTTTTACATAAATAATGTAAACGGGATTTCAAACATCTGATGTCGTGTATATATACTGGTTGAATTTCGTAATCGGAAATGAAGTCCTGGAAATGTGTAAAATGAATCAGCGGCACGTTACGTATTCTCATATACAATACCGGAAGTTCCTTATTTTGGCACACGGTTATTCCGGTTATAAATGCTAGGGTAATTACTTGGTAGCACTTCGTCTTAGCTACGCACAGGTGGTTGTCGTGACTACAAAGGAGGCAAGGTTTTACTGCCCCGAGAGGGGTGTTTGCGAGTTGAGAGAGCAACGCCGTTTAATCGTAGCGGCGAGGGTTTGTTGGGTACTTCAGTGAGTTTCGGTAAATGCGGTGGTCGTGTCATCCGAGGAAGTTCTTCTTTCCTCTTAGAGTCGTCTGAGAAACTCCTCCTCTTGATGTCCCTGAGAACTATTTTCTTTGTCGCATCTTTCTTCTTTTGATCGGCGTCGATGTACTGCCTCTGTTTGCGCAACTCGTGCTGTACGGAAAACAGGTACCTTCCCCGCGTTCCGTACCGATCCAACATATTTCGCTGATATAGTTTATTGTCGTCACGGTAACTGTACCCGGCGGCCGGGTGCCGTTTCATCAATCGCTTCTGCGCTTCAAACTCCTGCAGTTCTTGCTTCAGCGTATCAGTATATCGGTCCAGTCGTACGCCAGTCTGCTTTAGCTCCCTCTCCATCGATCGTTCCACAACCTGTTGTCGTTTTTTCTCTCTCGTATTTAGAGCCCCCGTATGCTTCCAGTATATCTCCCCATTGACGTTAATCTGTATTTTATTCTTTGCCTTCCTATGTTCTTTTTCAACGTCGATTCCGATCACTTCCACTTCGGGCGTCGGTGGTTTGCTCCCATGTTTGGTGTCAGTTGACAGCTTAGCGTCGGCACAAAAAGAACGTCTTTCGGCTTTCTTTCCCATTCTCTCACAACAGGCCGTCTTGCTGCCTACAAAGAAACAACCCACGAATTGTTAAAATATAGATCACGAGAATCTTTAAAAAAGCCAGTCATTTAAACGTTGTATTACCTTTGTATATCAGCGGTCGTATACGTTACTAATATCAGTCATTCACTAAATCCCTCCAGGTAATAACCTGATGGTCGCCTCGCACCGACAGGACATTAGCATCTCTTTAGTATTGTTAGTAGTTCATTATTATACGCTTGATTTGCGGACGAATTCTTGAAAACACTAATGTGCCTAGCTTAGATTCTAATGTACTGTGAAATGAACATCAAAACGATCTGATGCAGTCGTGACTGACTACGCGCTGTTCCAACAAACGTCCAACTCCTACTGTATTCAAACAAGAAATGTGGAACCGGAATAAAAACAATATTGTTTTATGTCCCTTTCAACGTTTGGATTTCGTTTGCGCATTTTGCGGGAGATGTATCGACGGATGTTTTGTTATCGTGTTTTTTGTTAAATATTTAGTAAATAGGTCACGGCATACATGCGCATATGCCCACGCTATATCGTGACAACGCAGTGTTCTTTGCGCACGATGAGCGGAAGTCGTTGATGGAAGAGACTTGTTTAGATAAAGTAGGCAATATTGACAAAGAGGGGAAAGGAGGAGGTGAACAGATCCCTGCGTCACTTTCGGTCACTGTGACATAAAATTACAATCTGTACAAACATATATCAGATGAGATTGATTTTTACGAGATTAATTGCAAGCCTACCGTGATATCAATATAAAAGACACTTTGACGTTTTACGAGTGCAACGTATATTTAATAATCTTTCTTTCTTATTTGTACATTATTTCTAAAAATAGCAACACATTACTCCACTCTGTATGGCACCAATTCTTATTATATTTTTCATGATTTAAGTTAATTTTTTGCAATATGTTTTAATCAGCCGCGGGCTAGTCTATAAGCATCAAGTAAATTATTTTTGAGGAGATGTTTTGTGTATTTTTAAGGGGCAGTGGTCGTCACGCGGCGCGTGATAGAATTTCATGTAAACAAACAAAGTATTTTACACGCGTTGTATACGTCGCGTCGATTTGGTCGATTTCGCTTTTAAACAATTTCTCTAATAAAAAATCCTTCAGTGGGTGGTGTGGTAATGTTATTATTTAGCTATTAAATACTTTCTCTGAAATCTTTCAGTGGGTAGTTTGAGTAATATTATACGATTCGCTTTTAAATACTTTCTTTGAAACCCTTCAGTGGACGGTTTGTTGATGTTAGACGTTTTACTTAAAAATACCTTCTAGAAGCATACATAAGTAAATGTACGCATGTAAGTCCGAGACTCATCATTGTGCGCATTAAAGAGGCCTTGTGACGATATTACATCTCAAAACTAGACGTCCAGTTCAACTTTGACTTTTTAATACCTGTTTATCAAACTAAACACGTGTACTTCAACCTATATGAGGGGTGTTACCGTTAAAAACACGTACTGCATTCCGATCTTTATCAACATTGTTATCTTTTGTTATTCATTGGGAATAATATACATTGCCAAGTTTGTTAGTGTCAATTCATCGATACTTGGTAGATATTGTTGCTATGTATTCGACTTAAAGGGGACAATAAATTTCGCACAACGCGTTTTAGATATTAAAGCTGAGGTTGAAACAAAGTTGCGGTATACGTTTTATGATTGCACATGCGTATACGTGCGACTTTGAAAAATAACCAAGCATGGGAAATTCGTGTTATTTAAAAGCGAAATATACTATTGTTGTAACAATATTACTACAAGTTGTTTTTGTCTATCACAAAAAAATACCAATGAAATCTTGCCGATGAACTAACGTTTCACGCGAGATTATAACCATGCCAATCGGGATTGGTTCAGGTGTCATGTTCTTCTGAAGCAACGTAAGATGACACAAATAGTAGAATTTACAATGTGTAGTCTACTTGTAAAAATATTATTTATCGATTGAATACATGATAGGCATTCCATAATACCAAGCTTAATTGGTTTCATTGTAATTTGAAGGTTTAATAACTTCGTAATATATGCAAATAGAGTAGATACAATTTCTTTGTAAATATTAATGTAATTGCAATGTACATTTATTTATCAATTAAGGCAATGCTCTAGCATATGTTAAGATAGACATTAACCCTCCGAGTGTCAATGTCAACTTTTGTCACCATTCACAAAGTTACACCCACATATTATTTTTCCTTTTTTCCAAAAATGTGTAAGCAACGTGAAATTATGTCTATTTCGTCCAAAATTAGAATTGCTTTTTAGAAAAATACATAAAAACAAGCAAAAATGTGGCAAACCATTGTGGCGTTCAAATTAAGCGTATTTATTACAAAATTGGGCATCGCAAAATTAAATTCGAACATCGCACACCAGAACATCGTGGCTTTATATTACATGATACTTTACCATGCTTGTAAGTATGGATAACACACCAGAGCAGAGAAGTATTATGAGGGCATAGCCCGAACCAAATCCCGATGTCCCATGATGTTACCTGTTTACTACTGACTACTTTAATTTAATGTAAAGTAGAAAGCTGTGTCAACATAATTCTTCCATCAACAAATCATTGTCAAATTTCCATCATATGTTGACATTGACCACTCAGAAGCCATGCAGGACCACACCTGTTCCACGACTTCACTGCCTTAACTCTACCTTCTCAACAACAACACTGAAACTTTCGAACAGTTGCTTTAAAGTTTGCAGCGAGCAATTATTGCCAATAACAGAATGGCTTGTCTCTTACTACTGCAGAAAATCACCAGCTGTGTCGCTATCGCTGTTTGGCTACTCACACTACCAATCACTTGATCGGTGTATGAGTCCATATTTTAGGTAGTTTAACTTACATTTGATAATTTATTTGTTAATGGCATAAGTATAATAATCGATATTTTTCCTTAGGTAGACGTCAGCAGATACTAGTTTACCGCCAGAATTTTTATTATATATACGTATATATGTACGTATTACCATGGATGTACTAACTTAGTACATCCATGGTATTACAAATCTAACTTGGCATACGCATAAATTGGCATATGCATTTGTCTGCATTCTAATTATTGTGTTAGTAATACAAAATCTGGTAACTACGAAGCCTGTTTTTGAAGACGCGAAAACAGAAAATTTTATACTTACGCATGCAACTTGGCTGTCTTGAAATAACAGGCTGCCTGGTTACTTCCATAGCGAAGCGAGAAGTACGTATCACAGCTACTATTACTGGTACAGCTGAGCGCCTAGTGCACTTAGCTTGTGTTTTCTCCTCCTGCCTGAACTTGGGTCTTTCCTGACACAGAGTCTGAGACACTAGTCGACGAATTTGCGTTACTGGGTAACAGGTGTTGTCATTCGCTGATTGCCTAGAGGTATGTGACAAGTCTTAGCGATAAGCCACCGACAAATCAAATTACAATGTTAACATGATAGTGTTGTACAGCAACGTTGATCATCTGAAGGAATCAAGTATCCGCAATTTAATAAACCAGAGTTTGTTTAACTGCTATTTAATGGTTTTTATTGACTTCGTTATCAGAAAGGACACAGTAAGTTATGTGGTATATCTCGGTGTAACTTTTTAAAGTTCATTCAAAACTCGTAAATCGTGACTTGACAACAGTCAGGTGTAAACATGCGTTTGAACTTGCTGAGTTTGGGCAATGAAAATTGAATAATGTAGTATGTATTTCTTGATATAGAAACACTTTACATAACTGAAGGTAGACACATTGAGAAAAGTACTGGACACTGTAGAATTTGGTACCATTCCATGAATTCATAAACAGCTAAAAAAGAATTCTGGACCCCAAATTTAGTGATTTTTGACCTGATTCCCCAAAAAAGCAATTCGATATGTTAGTTTAGGTAGCAGATCTTAGTGTATATTTCTATAGTTACTTTGGTAAACGTCATTAATTGGGAAAGTTTTCTCGTTTTATAGAAATTGATAGTTCATTATAGCATGACCTGCCCACCTGTCCATGACATGGATTTGAAATATCGCCTACACACATTCATGATTCATATAGAGGCAATTCAATATTGTAAACTACATCAAAAATAAGGTTGAGAGATCACATGGAAACAAATATGCACTTCGCTGGAAACTGTATGTACGCTTCAGTAGGAATGTGACATGAACTAGTCAGCGGGCATGAATCTTATGGATCAGCGGTCAAGTGGACAAGGCGCAATTTATCAATATACATCAAAATATGATAGTAGTAATATCATATTAAAGGCACAAATAATAACACATTGTGGCAATACATTTGGAGTGTAATCATGTGATAGATCACCTTCAAGATACTTATGGTACATGGGTTATATGGTTATATGCTGCCCAAACGGAATCACTTACAGTCAGTCGCTGTGTGTACTTCAGACGTGTAAACCCTTCACTTTATGTTATGTATCTGAATCGCGCACGCTAGCTGATGGTGCGGCCTGACATATAAAATCATCCCGTGTTTTCTACTCACATTTTTCGTCAATCTTGAGATACCGAGGAACAATCTTCAATAATCTGTAAGCTAGGTGTTTTCTCTGTGTGTGTTCATCTCCGAAAACGACCCTGACTATTAATTTATATTAATATTTAATCGAATTTAAGCCAAGTTTGCGTGGCTTAGGATTAGTAAAGAGATAATGTTACTTTATTTAGGGTGTATGGTACAATTTATATTAATATAATTGTACGGTTGTTTAAGTTCCTCGCCATGCATTTTGATATCGTGTTCTGGAATACCTAAATCAACTGCATTAGTCGTGCCCATAAAGTGGGATGATGTGACAATGTGACACGTGAATTCAATTTCTAAAATACGAAAAGCTAATTTCAAACTCGAAAATGTTAAATGTCCATAATGCGGGCATCTGTTTCACGGGTGCAGTGAACACATCCGATTGAATCCGCAAGGTTTTTGAAATTGGGAAAAAATTGATTTCGTGAAATTTAACAGAGATTTCTGTTCCATTGTGTAGTATTATATTCAAACGACATTTATGTTATCTTACAAAATGACAAAATGGTTTAAATCGTGTTACATAACGCAATGAAATTACTGTTGCGCTAAAAGAGCTACAACCTCAGACTACTGACATTGTGCGCAGAGACAGGTATGTTTTCAGTCATGATATTTAATATGTGGATGCAATTTGTCTGACATGGGTTCATATATTATGAATTTCACAAAATTAACACTGTAAATAGATCATTGGGATTTAATTTCACTAGTTTAATATTTTTATCATAAAAAATTACTTTATATTTGTATTATGAACGAGATTTGGTTACCGCAGGAAGTTAGTAAAGTGGAAAAGTTTGTAAATACATGTACTATTGTTGTAAAAATTTAAACTTGACGTGAAAATGGTGGTAAGCTCGCTATATATTTGCTATGTTCCGATGAAATGCTGTCGTGTGAACGTAGCAATTGCCTATTTAAGCGTGTATTAGAACCTGGAAGATATTTATTTACTATTGACATTCACGTACATAATCAGGCATTGTCACGTGTACGTTGTTTTTTCGCATTGCAACAGATCGAGGCAGATTGAAAAGGAACTTGCGTATATGTGAACTATGTGATATTTCTGTCATGAGTTTCACTTCGTACCGGTCTGTAATATCTTTCAGAGAATTCGAAAGTGCATTCCCTACTTCTTCTTCATACAACCAATAATAAATAAGTTGCTTGCTTCAAAGAATGGGATTCGTTTAAAACGTTCAGCCACCCATGTTTACCAGGTTATGAAGGAGGGAGGGGGGGGGTCTGATGAGCCACTGTAAATTTTCACAGTGCTCAAATCTCCGAAGTACATGTACGATAATTATACAGTTTACTATCATTTTAGTTGTATATGAGTGCTCTTTATTCAGTAAACTACGAATCACATTGTATTTGAAATCGAAATAACTGTACCATGACATTCTCCAGAATACCAGAGGAGGGTGGGGGGTGGTGATAATATTTCGCACTTGCAGAGTTTCAACTTTGACATGATTGGAGGGGTAATCATGTCAACGTTAATACCTCCAGTTTGGTTTGTGGTGACTTGCACCAGTATTTAGAATTGGGGTGCGAACGGGTGGGGGCATAATATTTGAAAATCAACGTGACTATATTTTGGAAATTTCGAAAAAATTAATTAACACTTGTACTCATACATCTATTAATTAAAGCTAAATTCATACATTTAAATGAACAGTCGGACATGACTTGTTAAATACGAAAATACCGCCACCAACGTCACCGCAATGTCGTTATGATACCACAATTGAACTATACAAATTTATACGTGTCGAGGACTGAGTTCGTCTACATATCGATGATGGATATTATCGCCAGGTGTATGACGTCATACGCTTAGGTAAATTAAACGCATGCGTTTTCTGGAGAAAAAAACACAATAAACATCAACAAGAGGCCATTTTCATGAACCCTAAAGGTCACACATCCTGGCACTTTCGTTGATATGACAGCATCACAAACATGCGCAATTGTAGTTAGACACGTGCGCGAAACAAATAGTCAAGTACAGAAAATTGTGCTGAAATATTTATTTTTGATTTTCATATCAATGAAAGTACCAGGTTGTGAGACCTTCATAGGTCATAAAAGGTAACATTTAAATGAGAAATATATATATATATAATACACAAACCATGCTGTTCGACACCAGAAACTTGGCCTTTGAATTGAGGTGTATATAAGCAACTAATATGAATATGTTTCCATGGTAACCAATGATTTAATTGTACTTACTATACTGGCAGATATACGGCTTGAGTCTAAAACAATAATCGTCGTCCCATTTGAAGCCAGGCTTCTTTCTTGGATATTTCCTAGAGTTCCAAGAAAAAACAAACCGAGATTACCGAATTTTCCATTAACTGAGCAGAGGTTCAAACCAGTTCACGCACTGATCGAAAAAACGAGCTTTGTTATTGCTGCGCTGTCGGCGTTATTGTTATCATCATGATCGTTGTTGTTATTGTTGTTGTTTGTGTTTCAGGTGTCGTTCTTATTGTCGTTGTCGTTGCAGCTGATGTTTTACTTACCACAGCTGTCCACAGTCTTGGCCGTGGCAAGAGTCTTTCCTATAATTATTGTTCGGTTGGTTGTCTTGCCAGTTGGTGTATTCCCACGGCGTGTCGTCGATCCATCGGTATTGGTTTTCGTCTTTCTTATCTTCAAAGCCAATCCACAGCCCGCCTTGTCCGAATTGCGACCCAATGTCATTGTCTCTTAAGTATGATCGCACGCCGAGATTGACAGACTTCGTTGCAAGGACAGCTAACTGGCCACCTTTCGACTCACAAGATGCCTTGGCCCCGTCCCATCCTCGTTTTTCAAATACTATTTCGAAAGTATCGCCTTCTACGCATATTTCTGAAAGTTGAGATATAAGCAGTTCGTGATTAGTATGTCTAATCCCGACAGTTCGGGACTTGGACATCTAAATGATAAACTGTACAAAAGTAACCAGGGTATCCTTGCAATGAACATCACAATGCCATAGATGGAACTCTCTACGCAAACCTGGCTTGACAATTTTAGTATATTTCATCTTTCGAATCACGGTTCCTTGAGGTAGAAGCCTACTCATATATGCAAATAGCTAGAATTTATTCATTTTGCAATAAATTGCACTCCCGGGCGATATCAGGATATTTGCGCAAGGTAAACCCGATTTTAGGAATCGAAAAAGGGATTTGTTCTATTGTTAAAATACAATACAACTGCAGTTAAAACACAGCATCACCAGAAATGTTGAAAGTCCCAAGAACTAAGCCAATTTGACACAAAACATACCAGCCCGCCATTCAAAAAACATTTTCCCCCGAAAAACTAGTCTAAGGCATGGCTTGAAATACAAGCATGCCATCCCTTGCGAAATTGAGCGGCTCTGTATGGCCGTGATACAAATTATAATAATCGTGCGAAACATATAAATGAGCTACGTGACCACGGACGAGATTTTGATCGGAGAGTGGCCAGAACATGCTGTTCAAACACTTGTGACCCTAAAACGGCAATACGTCCCATATTGCTTTAATAAATAATGTCGTCAATTCATCATGAATTGGGTTTCGTACTTACCGACAGAATAGGCCTGCAATAGAATAAACTCAAAATTAAAGACAGAAATAATGGCATATTCATGAAATTTAAATTGTAATTAAAAAAAAGTTGTATTCATCTACCACATAGACTAACCTATCACCTACCAGAAGAGATCAACATATGTTACGACTGCTAAACAAACTGTACAGTTCGGGATGGAATGCGCCCTCAGACGACGCATATAAATCACGCGAGCCGTCGAACGAGGGCGCAATTTGCAATACGGTGATGGAAATACGAGTAAGGATGTGCGAAGGTGATTATTTGTTTGACATCACTTTGAAACAAACAATCAGGGAAGAAGGGCGCTTTAAAAACACTTTCAAATATTGCAAACTATAAATTAATGTTCAAACACACAAACTGAATTTTCTCAGTATATAAGATTGATTATGTAAAATAAACTGCATACCATTACGGTTTGTAACACTCACACACACCATATCAACCCCAATCAATGTATATGAATATAAAAACATAGTTGGACCACGATAGTGGTATTTCTAACGTAATCAAAAAGTATTTTCACAAGTTTTCTTTAAGTTTAACTTTACGTATTGTTTCAGACACACCAAACCAATACGTTTTAGATTTGTACACCTCCGCTCTTATCCTTCACAGACTTGGCTTTGTAGCCTGCATAAACTGAGTGTACATTT